ATTATCGATGGCATAATAATTTACATTTAACATCACTACAAACAATCATTATCGTGTGTTTTGAACAGACAAATCAAAGCACGCCATGTAACCCTCCGCTGTCGGTGGTGCTGCCAAAATCCTTTTTTATTAAAAATTAATTTTAGATGATTTTAAAACTAATTTTTCCTCAAAAATATATAGAAAATTAAATATAAATCCAAACTAATTTTAGATGATTTTAAATATATAAAAATTAATTTGAGATATTTTATATATTTTAAATATTTAATTAAATTTTAATTAAATATTTATTTAAATAATTTTGAAAAAATTAGAAATTTTCATTTTAAAATATTTTCATATTATAAAAATTAGGGATATTTGTCTAGAAAATTTCGATTAATTTTAGAAAATATAACACATGTCCAATAAGTTTGAAATTTTAAACATTTAAACTTAGTGAGACCTCCAACCTATAGGAAAATTCTTACAAGTTTTAAAAATCATTAAGGCTATAATTGAATTAACTTAATTTTAATGCATAAATTAAGCCTTAAAACTTCCAAAAATTCTAATAAATTAAACTGCATTTAAAAATTATATATAATTACTCTAACTAACTACAATTCAACCCTTAATCAAATAAAAATAAAATCCCATCGACTAGACTTTAATTTTAAACTTTACTAATTTTGAAAAAAAATAGATATTAAATTAATTAAAAATAATAATAATAATTTTAAAAAAATTTCAAACACTTTATAACATCTCCTTATATCATTTCTTTTCTTTGGAGCTAATTTTAATAATTTTGGAGTTAAATTGAATTCAAATCATTCAATGCCCTTAATAAAAATAATTTTAAAAATTCAAATAAATAATCAAATTTTGAAAAATCAAAATTAATTTAAAAAATTTCTAAATTGAACAAACTCAAAGGCATTAGACTCTATTTGGGATATAATATTTACTAAAAATGTCAATCCACCAAAAATAATTCAGATTTGAAATGTCAAATATTTAATCAATTTTAAGTCAGAACTTTAAAAAATCATAACTAAATATAAAAAAATCCAAATCCAATAAACTTATAGTATAATTAATCTTAAGGTTTATTATTTAAGAAAAATAGTAACTTTCTAGAAATTAATCTTAATCTAAAAGTCAATTTTTGACCCATTTAATTAAGGCATTTAAAAATTTTAAATAATTCTAGAAAATTTTAATATTTGATTTTAAAATCTAGAAAATCTTATTCCAACTTTAAAAATAGCAACCAATTAAATATAATTAAAATTCATGAACCTTCAAACCTTAATTGATTCAATTCATTTAATTATATCAATTACCACTATGTAATATAGGCCAATGAGGCTATTAATCTAGCCCCAATCAAGGTGAAATAAACTTCACGGTCCTGATGAACAATAAAATTGATAGTCATTTAACTTTAAAATTAATTCCAAATAATTAATATTTAAACTTTAATTTAATTTTCTCTTAAGTTTTTCAACAAACAAAACATTAAACAACTTTAACTAATTGCCCAACACATGACATATCCAAACCACGCCATCTATTTCACACACTTTAAATAGTTTGCTAGAACAACCAATTCTAATCTTAATCTTGGCCGGTGTTTACATTTTTTGTATGACATATTTTTCATGATTTTTACTGCATGTTGGTTGCTAGTATAAATTAGTGTAATTGTTTATGAAATTTGTATATTGACATGATGGGCGTTATTTACCCTTATGTTAGGGGAAATTTAAATGCTAATACAATCTTATGCATATAACCATGCTCATACATGACATTAAAAGTAAAGTGGGCAAAATAAAAATAAGCTTTAAATTAACAATATTTTTTATAGTAAATGCCAAGTCTCCATTTAAGAATTAAAAGAGCATGACCAAGTGTGGCTATGATTTGAGTATTTTAATTTTTTTATTAATAGTAACCACTTGAGATGATTTAATTATGACTGTTTAGGATAACCCTGTATATTATTTGAGTCTATACGTTTATTTTTATTTTCAAGTATAATTTGATGTAATTGAGTTGTACAAGTATTATAAAAGTACTTTGAGATGAGATGTTAAGCATCTAATTTGGAATCCAAAGAGGAAGGGACATCCCTTAGGGGAGAGTTTCTTTCCATATGGAGATTCAAATTAGGATAACTTTAAATTATCCAAAGGGAATAGATACACTCCTTTCGAGGGAATTTTTTTTATTTGGATAACCGAACCTGATGGATCCAAGGAGCCTGTGAAAGGATGAAGAAGTAAAGAACTAGAAGAATCTTTTTCTCAAAGTCACTTGTGTCTTAGGATTAAAAATTTGGGCTTATTGTTAATGGTACTTGGCAACATTACTTTTTACAAAATCTTGAATTATAATATTAAATGGTACTTCCTATATGGACATTCAATTTAATAAATTTAATTAATTTGTTTAATTTAATTGCATTGTAGAAATTACATGTCTTTTCTAACTTTTTCCGACTGCATGCCTCTTTTGATTTAACTTGAAATAAATCATAGGCTCATGAGGGTACGTTAAAAAGATTTTTCTACTTTAATTATATTTAAAATATTTAAGATTAGATAGAAATTTTAGCATTTTATGAAGTAAGCTCAGGATCGCTAAGAGTCTTTCTGGCATACATTTTGAAAACTTATCTTCTTTATTAGACACCTCCCTGCCTATGGGTTCTTCTAGGTGACCTGACCTATTAGGATGCAGTCCTGTCAAGAGGAAGTTATACATTCCTTAGTATAAAATTTATTTTCTAAGCCTGATTTTAAAACTATTTCATATTTGATTTTAAGAATTCATCAAGTCAACTAGCATGAATTGCATTAAATATAAAATTAAAAGTGTCTAAAAATTTAATTACATTTTATTCAAGCATCAATTTATCAAACATCAGTTAAGGGGCCAATTAGGATCCGCTTTAGATGTCTACCCTATTTCCTTAAACTTAATTAAACAACATCCCTATCACTATTTTATAAGTGTCCAGAATCATGATTTTAAAGCACCTATGTGGTTAGCTAACTCCCTAATCTAGGCTAAGATAAATCCAAGTTTGCAATACATTAGTTAGGTTTGGTTTACTAATTTATAGTATCCAATTTAGACTTAAATTTTGAGGTAGGTTTAGACTATAAGATCTTAACCTTTAGGAACTTAATCTCAACCTTCTAATAAAATTGGCAATTCAAATTAAATCTCTCTCAATTCAAATTTAAGCCTAACTCTAAAGATAGAATGTGGTGCTTCTAAAATATTTCAAAATCACAAGACACCTTCTACCTTTTCTCCTTTGACCTCCAGAAATAAGTGTTTCATTTTGATGATCCATATTGAAAATTTTGATCCTCACTGCCATTGATATTAATCTTTGAGAATCTTAAATAAAATTTCTACCCTTATTTCATTCGAGAGTATTCGTGAGAAACTTTAATTTTTTACGATGTAATTAACAACGAGGGCTTGCACTCATAGAAAATTCAATTAATTCTCTTTGGGAAAAATAAATTAAATGCAATGATCATTATCATCATTTTTTAAATAATTGACAGTAAATGATATATTCTTTCTCTAGGAGTATATTTTATTCCATTATCATGAATTAGATTATGAAATTAATGATTCCTCGTCCATATTATTATAATCAAACACACAATCAAACATCATTTTGACCCTTCGGAACCATGTCTTGTCCTTTCCTGAGTTTGATAATGATAATCAGGATGAACTTGAATTTTTGTAATTTAAACTCATAGGGAATGATATGTTCACCTCCTAAGATGATATATTATTTATAATGACGTGTTTGATTTCAAAATTAATTTTTTTTTAGAAATTAAATTCTCCCAAAGAAAATTAATCTTATCAAAACTCCAACACTTTTCAATCAAAACAAGCTTGTGTAAGAAATCGAAGCTATGTATTCAATATTTATTAGGTGGTGACTCTCTATCCTGAGGCTAGAAAGTTGTGTGGAGTTGCAACTATGAAGAAACCACGTAGTGTATTGAAGAAATCAAATTACAGCTGTAGTAAGGTTTTGGGTGGCAGGTTTGAGTAGGAAGGAGCGTGCTAAGGCGTAAGCAGGACTAGCTAAGGAAGACGTGGTCGAGGCAGCTGTGAAAGCACTGGAGACGATTCTAGGTTGTGAGAAGCTAGCTGAATAGGAGAAAGCCACATGAGGGAAAAGATCATGCAGTAGTTCAGGTTAGGCTTGGGAGACCTGCTTAGGATATTGGAAGTGGAGCCGGAGCCAATGTGTCATAGCAAAAGCGATTTCAAACAAATAGGTGGAGGAAGAATAAGCAACCAATGGGGAAGGTTTTTCCTTTGTTTTTCTTTGAGAATAGAAGATGGAGGAAAAGTGAACATGTGGTGGTGGCTTTTTTGCACTGTTCTTGTGGACAACATGTGTTCTCTCAATTTTTTTCAATCTGGACCAAGATGGAGATTATTAGTTTTTGGTCAAGATTTGTATGTTAGTTTTGCATTTTACTGCTTTGCTCCTATAGGATGTTAATTAGTTTTATAATAGGAATTGCCTTGTACTGTTGGTGAGTAAGCCAAGAAATAAAATTTTGTATTGTTTTCTCTCCAAGAGTTGTGCTCTCTCCCCCTCTCCTTCTCTCCCATTTCTCTTCAAAGAATCCTCCAGTGTCTTCAACATCAAGAAGAATGTAAGATTAGCTACAACATTTATAATTAGTGGAGGTGGAATCCCTACATGGGTGCCTTCAACATCAAGATGACAGCAAAGTTGGCATAGCATTTTCATGTAGTTCAATAACCTTTTAGGGCTATAGCACTTCTTGGTTCAACACCAAGAAGACTGCAAGTCTGATTTAATATTTTTTTCAGCTTCCTTCATTTTAATCAGGAAGACTTCATCTCAAACCAATGGGCTACAAATCGCAGACTTTTATATGATGCAAATGAACAGATGTTCTAATAATAACTGATATTTTGTGAAGCATCAATCTTATATTTCTATTTATTCCTTCTATATATGTCTGCCTGAACTGTACAGCACGGCTCAAAAGTTTAAATCAGAGTCAATCGTATATCAAAAAAATTTAAAAAAAATCAGAAAATTTATATCAACAACAAAACTCGTTTCAATTTTATAAACAAATATGTCGGCAGTCTTGAATTCAATCCTCTAAAAAATGGAAACTAATCAATCCCTAGAAGAGAATGACATATTTGAGCTTGACCAGCTGTCCTCCTTCCTCGTATCGCAGAGCGCAAGCGCGCTTTCGAGGTTCATCACAACGTCCGTAATGGTCGGTCGATCCTTTCCTTTCATGCTTACGCAATGCACGGCAGTGTAAGCCACCAGCTCCACCGCCTCCGCCTCCCGCAGCTCCGGCCGCGGCATTCGCCGGTCTAGCACTCTCCACGTCTCCCCGTCATCAATTATCGGCGCCGCGTACTCCACCACGCTCACCGGCTCCCCGCTCTCTTCCCCTTCCTCCCGAAATATCGCCCTCCTTCCCGTTAAAATTTCAAGCATCACTACCCCGAAGCCGTAAACGTCGCTCTTTGTCGTCAGTTGCTGAATCCCACCGTAGTACTCCGGGTCTATGTAACCCATCGTCCCAGCTGCCATCATTGAAGGATGAGCCTCTTCGGCTTCCGGGCCCATCAGTGATAGACCGAAGTCCGAAACCCTCGCCACCCAGTCCCCGTCAAGCAAGATGTTTGAAGATTTAATGTCTCGGTGTATGATTGGGGGGACGGCATAGTTGTGTAGATATTCGATTCCTCGAGCTGCGTCGAGGAGGACCTTTATTCTCATTCTCCAAGAGTCCATTGGTCCTGTTTCAGTGCCGGTTCTGGAGTGGAGGTGGTCGAACAAGGCGCCGTTTTTCATGTACTCGTAAACGAGAAGTCTTTCGTCTCTTTCCTCACAGTACCCAACCAAGTCTACCAAATGTTTGTGATGAAGGCGAGAAAGGAACACGAGTTCGGATTGAAAAGCTCTCTCCTTTTCAAGAAATTTTTTGTTTCGTAGGCTTGATCTGAGCTCGCCGCGTTTGATCGCTACTTCCCGGTTGTTTTTGAGCATGCCTTTGTAGACCGTGCCGAAGCTTCCGGCGCCTATGCGGCATTCGAGGGAGAAGTTGTTGGTGGCGGTGGCGAGGTCGTCGAAGGTGAACTCTTCCGCGCGTTCTTTGAAGGATGATGGTCCCCTGCGATGGCTGCCCGTGGCGCGGGAGATATAGCGGCGGAGGACTCTGGATCTTGAACCAGAGGGGGAGATTAAGGGAGTGGGAATGATGATGGAAGACTGCGCGGAGTTGGTAGCGATGTTTCCTGCGGTCAAAATGGCCGGCTGTGAGGCCTTGCTGGAATTGTGAACTTTTTTATTCCGGCAAACGGCGCTCCATATGCAGCATAGAATGCTGAATATGGCGACCAAGCCTCCGATGGAACCAGTGATACACAAGGCCAGCCATCCTTTGGTCGACTTTGAGAAAATTGGCGCGGATTCCGGTACAGGGGGAGGTGATGCCGGCTGAGAGGGCGGCGCGGGCGGCGGTTGAGAGATAAAAGGTGCCCCGCAGGACTTGCAAATGACACCAGAATCTGAACAGAGATATTCTGAATCGGGAAAAACGCCGCATTTGCAGGAACTCTCGACAACACATCTACCGGGAAGAATTTGGGGTAGAGGGAGAGCTAAGTAGGAATGATTAATCCCACCCACATTCCAGCACATCACCGTGAAATTATCGGTTATCACCCCGCAAGTAAGGTCATCGCTGGCGACGATGAACTCGAAACTCATGCTATTTTCTGGACTGTAACTCGAAACTCCACCGGCATCAGCGCCCCAGCAGAGCACGGTACCATTTGGCTGCTTGATCACACAAGAGTGATTCAAACCGAGAGCCAAGCCGGTGAACACGAAAGCACCACCTGAGGGAACATTTAATTGACCGGAACTATTGCTCCCCTTACAGATTAAGAATCCAGAAAGACCAATTCCGCAGACATGCGAGTCCCCTGCAACAATGCTCTGCATCGTGATGTTACCAAAAGAATTTTGGAACTCTGTACCACGCCCTCCCCAGCACTTCACGCGGTTGTCAATCCCAATTCCGCAAGAAAACCCTCTCCCCGATGTCAGCGATCGGTATTCTCCTTCAATGCTCGCCGGAAAGCTACCATCACCCCGCCAGCATAGAACTCTGGTGCGATTCTTATCCAAGGCGCACACTTGATTCACGCCTACGCTGAGATCGGCGAGTGGGAAAGGACCGTTATAAATCCGCTTTGTGGATACCAATCCGGCGGAGAAGTTTTTTATTGCCCAGCAAAAGATTCTGAGACCTCCCGAACTCAGCCCGCAAAAGAAGTCTCGTCCGCCAGAAATCTCTTCAAATGACAATTTTGGAGCGATCGCGAGCACCGGCTGCCCAACACGCGCGCAAAGGATTTTCTCTCTGCCATCTCCTGCAAGCACGCCGCAGACTGTTCCCGAGGACCGGATCACGGCGATGGTGGCCGCAGAACCGAGCCCTTCCGCGGCAACGACGATCAAAGCTAGAAAAACCGCCGCGGCAGCGGCCGGTGGAATCGTCATCTCGTCATGGGAGTCGAACGAAAGAGGGAAAAGAGGGAGAAGATGGATACTGCTGCGAGGGGAATAAGTTAACCTACGTCGAAGTCGGATGTAACGAAGAAATGGATGACCGATTCTTGCTTTCATGAAGTAAACAACGAGGGGTTTGGCTTCGTCTTCACTATTTGAGCGTATCGGCTTGCCTTTAATTGCCGCGATAAATTACGTCCCAAAGAAACCCGTCAACGGAAGCGTGTAGGTGTTCTGTACTTTACTTTCACTAACGTCTTCCTCATCTTTTAAACTTCAAATTAACATATATTTAATTAACACAATATTTATTTATTTACAAAATTAACATTCATTTCAAATCTTTTGAAACTTTATAAATAAAAAATATATAATTTAAAAATAAGAAAAACGTTTATTATAAAATTTATAATTGACACGCCACTAAAAATTGTGTTGATTGAGCAAGAATCTTGAAGTACATTTGAGTTAGAAACTTTCAAAATTAAATGTGATACTATCTAAACTCTAATTTCAACAAATTTATAGTCAAATCAAATGTTTCAATAAGACAAACTCAGCGACATCAAATTCAGTTCAATTCATGCTCAAATGAGCGAAAATCAAGTGGCCAAAACACACCCGGAAGGATCAAATCATAAATTGGATGATCAAACAATATTCAAATTTAGCAAGCTTATTGTCAAATCGAGCAGCTCGATGAGACGAATCCAACAAGCCCAAGATCGCATAATTCTGACATCATTAAGGCACTTAACTACTTCATAATAGCTCTATGATAAAGGAAATCAACATTGGGCCGCCTGATGAAGCACTTCAAATTTACCCTCCGATCACCGTCGCATGCCAACTGCGGTTCTTCCGACAATCGTCGCTCATTGACTACGGTCCCCTTCTGACCATTATCGCTCACCAACTTAAGTCCCTTTGACCTCTATCGCTCGTCTCTTAAGATCCCTCTGACATCTGTCTTCTGCTGAGTATAATCTCTTGACAACTATCGTCTGATTATGATGCTACCAACATAACAAATATGTCTACACTCTCTTGATAATAACTCTCTTGATTATGATATATATTTGCAACATTGAGCGTAGGCCTTCCCTAGATGAAGAGCATTAATTATAATCAACAACAATAAACACTAATTTAATCATTTTTACTAGGTTAGGCCCTGTAATTTTTCTCCTTTTCAATATTTTCAAAATAAAAAGATTGGACTCTCATATTACTCTTTTACCTCCCTCTCTCTCTCTCTTATCAATTGTGAGCTCGAACTTTATACAAAATTAAGACATATTTTATTAAATATATAATATTTGATACTCCCAAAAATATAGTGTTAGGATTACAATCTAATTACTGATTGAATAACACATATTAAGAATCCTCAAACCGCTAAACGTTTTGATATGAAAACAAAACATCACTTCGAGTTTTATAACTTGAATAAAATTAGTCAAGCCAAATAGATCCTAGTTAGTTTGATTGGGTTGCAATTTGGAGGTACTCTAAATGCTTTGAAATGTTACTAGGAATTTAATTTAGGCTTCATTTGGAATAACTTTTTTATTACCTTCTAAAAAAAAATTTTAGTATAAAAATATTTCGAATTGAAAATTTTTGTACTAACAAGCTACTTTAGAAAATAGTAAGAAAGCTGCCACAAATTTCATTGCCATAATCAGCTTTAAGACAACCTTTTACTGCTTTATAAAGCCATTGTAGAGCAAGTGATTTTCTAAAGCTCTTGTAAAAAATATTTTTCTAGTATAAATCTTTTTAAAAAATAATGAAAAAATAATGACTAAACAAAAAATATGATTGCAGACTAAAAAAATAAAACAATGAGAAAATTATCTTAAACTAAACCTTAGTTTGAATCAAATGCATCACAATTAAAAATCATGGAAATCATTTGCTTTACACACTGCGCATCATACCAAACAAAGCGTTCAACAGTTCAAAATGAATTTTTTTGAGATTTTCTTATTTTGGGTTCATGGCTTAAAAGTTAAACAAATTTCAAATGAGTTTAGTTACGTGCAAGAAATAGTGTAAGTGGAGGAAAATTCGAATATGTTTGTGTTAGCTTCTTTAGATATGACATAGATGAGCAAATAAATAGCGAAGAGAGTAGGGGTAGAACTAGGGCTATCAATAATTGACACGACCCAAAAATCCGACTCGAACACGACCCGGAATTTTCGGGTTGGACACGACCCGTTCGAAAAACGGGTCGGGTTCGGGTTCATATATATATATATATATATATATATATATAAACTAAAAATTTTAGCAAAATGTTGCATTTCATTATAATGTATGAATTTAAAATAATCACAAGCTCTACATTTTACTTTGCATTTTTTAATAAAATCGTATAATTGCTTCATTGGGAATAGAGTCAAATATTTCATTCTCGATCTATGACACTATACAGTCATTAAGCTAGGCACCTTCCATTTTGTTACGCAGTCAATATTCGATAATCTTCATTGCATAAAATGCTCTATCGAGTGTAGCAGTAGGTAAAGTCCATGCCAGAACAAGAAGGTTATAAACTAGGCAATAAACAAAATTCTTTCTAGCATATACAATCTATTTTACAAGAGCATCAATGCTAGTCAAAGATATAAATTTATCACTTATACTCATATCAATAATATAAATAAATAACTAATGTTCAAGAGAGATAATATCAATTATATAAAAATCTGTTGGATATAACTCTATAGGTTAACTTTCCCTTATCATAAGTAAAAAATATATTGGTTTGATTTAGATATGTCACACAAAGATGTAACTCAGTAATAATTTCTGAGAAACGGTTATTCAATTTCTGAAGTTGCATATCAACAATAGTATAAAATAAATCAAATTGATAGTGATGAAAGTTTGTTAATTATTCACTTTTTCGTACAAACACTCAAAAGCATTTTATATAATGTTCATATTTGGAACTTCAATGTCAAAAATATTATAAAATGTGACACTTCGTCTAGTAAGTCTCATCTAATTTTCCTCACCATCTGCAATTGTTGTGTAGGCACTTATAACAATTTCATTGCTTTTATAACATCATGATCCTTTCTTTTTAAGGCTTATGATAATTCATTTACATCACCAAAATATTGATCATTAGATGCAGTGATAAGACAAAGTCAAAAACTCTATAAACTATATTAAAACACCAACATCAACTAATTGTTGAGCATGCTTCCATTCTTTCTTGATAATTTCAAGCATTTCGCGTGCATAAGTATACATTTTCATAAATCTAATTAAGATAATTAAGGTTTGAAAATGTAAACTCTAATGAGTGCCACCAGCTCACTGTAAATTCATTTCTTGGTTCAAACCTCAATCATTAATTAACTACCTAGTACTTAAATGAAAAATTAGTTTTTTCAACATGAATCGCATTCAGAGTATCATTTCTCTTGCATGAAGCTTCATCAGTATTCAGATTTTTTTAAGTATTCTCAAATAGATATTTCATTTGCTAATTATTCTTTACTACAACACCAAACAAAGTTGAAATTGGTGAGTAAAACAATGAATGTAAAATGTCATAGGATTATCTTTTAGTATGAGTGCTTCCAAGTAATTAAACTCTTATCGCTTATTAGATTTTTCATCATAAACCTTACCATATATTCTATGTATACTTAATGAATGTTTTGCTGGAAGATATTCAAAAGATACATTTAGCGATGTTGCATTTATTGAAAAAAATATGATTAATGTCTATGAACCTTTTAATTAGTTGACCTATCTTTTCGATATATTGCACCACAATAGCTAATTATTCTTTTATTGACACATCAAGAGACTCATCAATAAGAATGATGAAGTACGAATCACCGATATCATTCATGATTGAATCCAAGATCTCAATAGCCATAGCCTTACAAATCTTCTTATATACTTTTGGTGAAGTCAACTATAACTTAACATTTGCATTTTTAAATGTTATTTTTCAAACTTCTTTAGTATGATGCTTAAGAAATTGAAAACAATTCTACATAATTTCGTTGATTATATCATCATGCCCATAGAATGATAGCCCTTGGCAGTTAAAAAATCGAGCACCATTAATAGCTGCAGTCAACATGATACGATATTCTTTTTTTTTTTTTCTTCTCATCCTTGCTCAACCATAGAACATGAATACTTTGTTATTGATGCTTCATTAAAGCCTTATATTTCTGTCCTTGCCTTTTGTGTCCTATTATGTTCTCCAACATGTCTCAAAAGATTCCCTTTTCTTTTCAAATTCTTAAATCCCTCAACAACAATTTCTTATTATGTGTGGAGTCCGGAGGACGTCTGGAGACCAATAAAAATGCGCCACATCACCCCATTGCTCAGTATCAAGCTCGGTACCCCTCGGTATCGCTTGGTACCCAACACTTAACCTGATAGGAGAACCGTCCGGTGTCCGCACATAATAATAGCTCCTCAATAACAAATAAGTCTCCACCACCTTGGCATGTCATAATAAGCTCTTGAGGCTTAAACAAGTAATAATATAGGCAAAAGAAGGTATTTTTTGGTACATTATATTCTATCCAATCAAGAAAAATTTTCAAAAATTTTGAATTAAATATGCAATATTTTTAATCATTGTTTGAGGAAAATGAGGATTTTTTGGTTTATCTGGTCCCTTCAGCAAATAAGCTCCACGAATTTTATCTCTATCATTTACATCGTAACTCCAGATTGATTGTTGAAGACCAGGGTCAGCAGGGAGGTTGTTATTAACAATTTTTGACACATTCATTCCTCTTAAAAAATCATTCCATTTGTAAAAGCATTACGGTAACAACAACAAAAATATAACAAACCATTCTTTGTTTTTATTTTTAAACAGATCAATTCTCTTAAACATTAGAATGAGAATTGAATACTAACTGTTCAGTCAATTTCATTAGAAAAAAGGCAATATTCCATCTCTATGCCAAAAAAAAAAAAAAATGGAGAAGGGCTCTTGAACTCAATCACTTCTTTGAATAACTATGATTTAAAACATTTAATCATTCCTTCGAAGTTCCCAATACAAAAATTTAATTAGTTGAAATCAAACGTATAAATAATATAAGGATAAAATCTCTAGTTTTTCTAAAACTAAGATGATAAGTTAGTTGGCAAACAACAACGACATGTACATTTTCCAAACAAAATGAGCATTCATCATTGATATTTGTTATGATACTAAAACAAAAGAGCTTGGTGTAACATTAATAAGGTATGTTGCTTACACAGCATAATAATAAATCCAATTAAGGATTATTGAATTGAAAAGAAGATATGGCCCAAGATGCAAGGAAAAGAGTTTTGCAAAGCCAAAAAAAGAAAAAAGGCAGATGAACTTACAGCCTTGAGCACCAGACTAAAAGAGAGGATGAGAGCCGGGAGTAGCTTCGGCCTTCGAGTTCCAAGTATGAATAAAAATAAGGCAATCCTAAGAGATTTACAAGCCGAGAGGTGAGAAGTATGAATCACAATTGGTAACCTAAATCCTACGGCAAGACTGACGGGCGAGAGAGATTACCTATGTTAAAGAGGATGAGAGCTGAGACTCGGGAATAACTTTGTGGACTTCGAGCTTGAACCCTCACCTTGTGGCTTCAACGACTATGTTGCATGCGTGAAGAGACAAACAAAGCGGGGTTGGGCAATGCCAGAGATTAGGGCAAAAAAAAATTTAATTTAGGGAGGGGGGGAGGCAAGCCCCCTTATTAATTTCTACGGTTTGAGGGTGGGCAATTGCAAACCCTGAACGGAACCTGGTTCCGCCTGTGGAGTAGAGTAAATGATGAAATTTGGTTATGTTGGAATGGGAATGAATGAGTTTGTGATAAAATAATGTACCACGAGGTTTCAAAGTTTTGAGAAAGATTCTGGGATCAATATTAGAGTATATTTGGGACAACATTCTTATTGTTTTACATTTCAAATCATAATTATATTTTTGTTTGACTGCTACTTTCTTAATATTTTTATGAAATTTCTATGCAGAGAAGTTGCTTTTGATAGCGGCTTTTAATTTTATTTTTGTTTGACTGCTTTGGAAAACAACAACTCATTTTTTAGTACAAAAAACTCTTAAAATCATTAAAAAAAAATAGTGGTCAAAGACATGGATGAGAAAATACTAAGAACATAGTATAAAAATAAAAAATAGTTTAAATGTTAGATTGGTTTAATCAAGTGGCTTGAATCCACTTCGAAAATCTACTGATATGCTTTTTTTAGCTTCTTCCGAATATTAGCTGGGGCAAGTACGAAAGTCTAGAGAGAAAAGTTTGTAGGAGCTTTGAACAAGTAAAACACGGATTTCTATGATATCCACAAATCATTTTCAATAACTTGAGACTTAATATTTGTAGTTGCTAAGCTAACTATTGGCATGCTCGAGGCATCTAAAAGCTTAAATTTTATAAATGATAAACAAGCCTCTATGAATGAGTTACAACAATAATTAGATATATCAACCTTAGGTATGCTTAGTATTTTCATTATTAATGTATAGTTGGGTGCTTAGAGTTGAATGCATAAATTTATTTTGTGTGGATACGGATGCCATCCGGAGGAGAATCAAAATGCTCCACATCACCTTTTTGATGTGTACTGCAGTTGTGTACTGCTGTGTACTAGGTGACGTGGTGCGTTATGATTCGCCTCCAAACAATCCGATGTCCGCACATAATAATTTCTCCTTGAATGCGTGCATATCGAAATATGATTCTAAAAAATATCGGGCTTGGCTCAAACTAAGAATATGCCAAGGCGAATTATTTGTGAGAGTGAGGTTATATTGCATTTTAGTGATATGATTTTTTGAGAAAGAGTATCTAATGAGTTGCTTCAAATTAGTAAGCTATATATGAGGTGATGATGCAATCATGTTTAGAGTCAAAATGTGAGTCATAAAAGTTGTCCACCTATAAGAAATTGAATGAATTAAGTTAATAAGCCCCTTGGGAAAATATAAAGACAAAGTTGAGAGAACTAAGATTGGTCATGTTGACATCTAAAAAGTCTTCAAGGTAGGAAAGACTTGGTTATTGTTGGGTCTAACTTTAATCATTGTATTGAAATTGAGTCCAACCATTTTGACACCACTAGGAGAGGAAATGGCTAGGGAGCTCTTGTAATGTGCTTTGAGCTATTTCTTTATAACCCTCATTCTAGAGAATTAGCAAGTCAATCACTATCAAACTACAATCAAACCAAACTCAACCCTATCAAGTAAAAATCTATCTAGTGTTGATCCACGTTTGCAGAAAATGCATGACAGAAAGGTATATTAAAATGCAAAATTAACAAAGTTTTCTGCAAATAAAGTATTACAAAATGATTAAAAAAAAAACGGATTGTCATAAGGTATTTGCAATGCTCCATAATATGATAAAGCCAAGCTTAAGTTTTTTCCCAAGATAACTGATAAGAGTAAATTACATATTGTTTAATGTATTTTATTTTCAGTAAAAATGTATTATTTAATTATTTTTGTGTAGGAGAAATTATAAAATTGGAAGAAATTCTAAAGAGTCTTCAGCGTCGCGGCGTTTAACGAAACAACGCCGTAGTGCTACCTTCAATATCGCTAAGGCGTCTCAATTCTAACATTATGGTGTCATGTTCAATGTTTGGCAGTGTTGTTGCTGCAACACAGACAACGACGCAACAATATCAGTGTGACGGTGTCAGAATGCTAGCTTGGCAGAGCTGGATTCTTTGTTTTCAAATGTCGCGGCACCAAAATTTCTCATGGCTTGGTACCATTATTTGCACTTGGGCGCAGTAGAGCTCCAATGTCATCAACACTGCGACGTAGCAGTTGTGACTTTCAAAGGCCACATTTTATCAGTGAAGAGTCGCAACTAATCAACTATTCACCAAGTAACCAATCCACATTAGCAAGGACCGTGGTGGTGCAAAGACTTTAGCGATTTAGGGATGCATATGCTCTGTATTATATTACTTTGAAGAGTGTCATTAGAAAAAAATATATATAATTTATTCTCATCAATAAAAAACCACATTAGTTTAATATTATATAAAATATTTTACTTATTTATTTAGTGATAGAATCTCCAAAATAATTATTTTTATTTCAATAGAATAATTATTGCAATTAAAGTATATCTTAGTAGTTTGTTGTAATTAAGAATACTTTCTTGTGGTTTCGACACTCCACTCTATTACCTTTTTACTTAGTTTTACACATATACTTGCATATATTAAGAGGAGTGTTATTAGTTATAGCAAAAAAACTTAAGCACTATTTAGGGGTGATAAAACCTTAGATTTTTGTACAATTCAAAAGTTCACTCTACAGCCACGATCAAGTTTTTGGAGTCATTATCGGGGAAATATTCTATTTTTTACATATTTTAACTATATTACTGAATTAATTGAATATTTAGACCTATTTGTATCTTTTATTTTATTTATTTTATTTTATTTGTAGATTGTGTATTCATGGTTACATGTTTTATGGACATAGAAATGAGTTTTTGTTATTTGACACTTAAATAGAAAGAACCCTTTAAAATTTTTGAAAAACCAAAACGAAAGTGAAGATGACTAAATCTTTATTAAATCAAGATCAATCAAGACCTCTTAGGGAGTATGCTAACTCTTTAGTTGACAAAATTCATCATAATATTAATAGACCTAAAACCAAAGCTAATAATATTGAATTAAAACATGCTAAAATTAAAATGGTACAAAATTTCTAGTTTGTGGAAACTCTTGTAGAAGATCCCAATTTATACTTATTCATTTTCTTTAAAATTTATGTAATATTTAATTATAAAATTATTAGTGATGATGCTATTAGACTTAGATTATTCCCAATTTAATTCTCTAAGAGATAAAATTGTGATTTGATTGAATTCTTTTCCCCAAGACTCTATAGCCACTTGGAATTAGTTGGCTTGAGTTTCTTGCTAAGTATTTCTCACCATCAAAGATTGCTAAACTTAGAAATGATATCACTTCTTTTACCTAGTTTAAAGGAGAATCCATCTATGAGAGTTGGGAGATATTTAAGAAAATACTTAGGAAATGTTCTCATCATGCTTTAACTAATTATTTGGTTATTCAAATATTTTATAGTGGATTAGCTGGATCTTTTAGAACAATAATAGATGCCGCAGCTCAAGTATCATTAATATCTAAGTCATTTAAGGAAGCATATAAATCAATAGAGAAAATGAATACTAATAATTTTCAGTGGTCTGCTGATAGGATAAATCCTAAGAGAGTAGCAGTAGTACCTAGATATGATGTTTTTTTTCAATTTTGATAGCACAAGTTGCAATAATTTCTACGAAATTAAGCATAAATGGAGAAAAAAGCCAAATTCAAAACTAAATTCTCTATGCAATTGGAGGATTACAAGTTAATTGAAAATAGTAATGTATAAGTGATTGAAAATATTAATTTAATTGGAGGAAAAAATAATCCATACTCCAAAATATATAATCCAGGTTGGAAGAACCATTAAAATTGTTATTGGTCAAATAATATTGCTGAGAACAATCAATGAAATTCTAATCAAAATAATTAATGAGTAAATTGGAATAACTTTCAATTTTTTGGTGATCGTACAACTAGATTGTTGGGATGACTAAACATTATTTCTACCCATCATCTAGATAATTGGTATCGTACAATATGATTAGATCAAAGATTTAAGAGTTCATCCAAGATGACTGCTAGAAAAAATATTTTTTGCAATAGTACGATATATAGATTGTACAATACGATCGATTATATTAATTAACTCTTGATTTAATTGACTAACCACATGGATTTAACTAAGCAAGTTTTTAAATATCATACAATATGAATAAGATCGTATAGTATGATTTGTTTAAAATAAAAAATTTAAAAACTTACTTTATTTTGATTGGTAGCTAGGGTTTCTATTTTGAACAACTCATATAGTACAATTAATTCAAAGAAAATTAATTAAAAATTTGTCATTTTAAGCCATTTTAAAAGCATCTAATTGTACAATATAATTTCATTCTTCCAAGAGTTTATTGAAAACGGGTTTTCTTATTATTCATTCAATATTTGGCAAATTCTCTTATTTTGGATTGATTTTATAAAATGTACATTGAATACTAATGAAGTCTCTTGTTATATAAACTATTAAAATATATTTTCAATACCATCAAGCTCTTTATTTAATGCACATATAGATCATATATGTAATTAAAATATAGTGTGATGTATAACCTCAAAGGATGAATGCAAGAACAACCTAGAGTATTCAGATAAGATGATTGCATGCCTAGACATATGATGAAAAATATTTTAGGTTTTTAAGGAGATATTATAACTATAGATGGTACGTCAACATGTATCCTTTTCATCTTTACAAGATCGACGGAGATATTGGGATGCATATTCTCTGAATCATATTACTTTGAAGAGTTTCATTAGATAAAATATGCAATTTATACCCATCAATCCAAAATACTTTAATTTAATATTGTATCAAATATTTTTCTAATTTATTCAGTGAATAAAATCTTCAAGAATATTATTTTTACTTATGTAGAATAATTATTACAATTAGAGTTGACAGTAGTAGTTTATTGTAAGTAAGCATACTTCCTCATGAGTTTGACACTCTACTCTATCACTTTATTACTTAATTTGGCATGTATACTTTTGTATATTAAGAATTGTATGTTATTATTTATATTAAAGAAAACTTAAGCATTGTTTAAGGGTGATAGAGCCCTAATTTTTTGTACAATTCAAATTTCATTCCATAGTCACCATGAGTAACTTACAATTATCATCTTTTAGTGAATCAATAACCATTTATAGCCATTTCCAACAAGCCATAACCTAATTTTGATTAGATATTAAGTTTTGAAAAACTAATTTAACCCTCTTTATGATACAAACTAGCCACATCAACTCCAAGTGTGTAAGAGGGGACTTAAGTCCCACATCCCAATTGGAGAGGAGGCCTCTCCCTTCCTCTCTATAAATATAAACCCTCTTCCCCTACACAATACCTTGAACGCTACCTCCTTTTTGTTGAAGTGCTATATCAGTGACTTACATGAATCTCACTAAAGGAGAAGGGGAAGGGGTGTCCTCTAAAACATATTCTCTCTCTCTCTCTCTCTCTCTCTCTCTCTCTCTCTCTCTCTCTCTTCTTTTCTATCTCTTCCTTTTAGCATATATACATTTAAATGTTATGTATATATGAAGATCTTCTATGGCATATCAAAGTACTAAGAGACAATTGTCTGTCATATTGATTAAAGATTAGTGTGTTATGTGAAAGTATATTCCCAATATATGTGTTGTGATTTTTTGTCACAAGTTTATCAGACTTAGTAGACATCTTGGAAGAGTTGAGGACAACCTCCTACTAAAACATAATTATTTATATGTAAAATATGACTTAAAAAACCATTCTAAACATAAACATGATTGATACTTATAGATATAGAGAAAGGTTATAGCGACCCAAAAGCAAAATATATAGTTTTACATGGTACGTAGGAATAGGTTCTCTTATAAGTGCCTTGGTTCTACAAATCACATGCCACATCATTTTCAAATGGCATTCATAGTTCAATGGCAATTTCATGTTTCCTTAACTTGGACCTATGATGAAACTTTATAATAAATTTGGACAAAAATTTTACTCTTTAAGCCGAAAAAAGTTGCCAAAATTTAATCAACATGAAACTAAATCATTAAGGGGAGAAATTTACAATGGCTTTATATGCTACAAATAAGTTTAATTGCATAAAATAAACTATGGAATGAAAATGTAAAAATTAAATGGTGAGATGAATATGAAAACATGCTATACTATAAATCCCCCCAATGGAAGGCAAACAAAATTTGCTTAAATCGATGGCCTAGAAATCCTCCTCATGAATGATGGAACAAAAAAACTACTAATGAAAAGCACTCAACACATTCCAAATGATGAATAAAATATGAATATGAGACTTAGCATGACATGATAAGAAAACTTGATTAACAACATTCACACTCTATATTCTTCCACCCTCTTGAATATAAATTATGATCGCTTGATATAAAAAATAGATAATCAATCCCTTAAAAAATCAATTCAAATCAGCTATTTCCTAATTCAAAATTCTTAGATTCCATTATGGATGAATATATCTAGATTAAATGAAACATTTTTAAAGCTTATAAAGTAAGTCATTTTATGCAAGAATCCCATGCTTGGAAAATCTGTTAAATCCTTAACCCATCATTACAAAATTACACGAAGCACATCAAGTGACCCTCCTATGACTCAATGAGTTCCATAGCCTAGAGCTAAGCAAAAAGTTCCATTTTTGCAGGAATACTCAATCAAATTTTATGTTGCATGTGCCAGCTTAAAAATTTTATGAAACTTTCTTACCATACAACTTTAAGCCAACAGCTCAATATTTTGAAAATCTAGAGTTTCTAACATTTTCATATTTATTCAATTGCGACTAATTTCTAAAAAACTCTACTAATTTAAAAAAAAAAATCTTAAATGTTGAAATTTTAACTTATGACAAATTTATTATGTCTAAATTTCTCAAAGTTTATGTAGGAAATCAGGCGTTTGAAACCAGAGCTTGAAGAAGAAGCCTTGTTCGGCTTCTTGGAGAAAAGGAAAAACTGAAAAAACCTTTTAGAACAGAGAAAATGAAATTTCTTAATGTTGCATTCCTATTACATCCCAAGGCACTTATTTAAAGACAAACTAGGCAATGCAAAAAGCTACACAAAAAAGAAACCACAAGAAAATATTAAAGAAGCAATCCTAATAAAATCTGGAATAATATCTAACAATCACTCCCTTAATCCAGATTTTACAAAACATCAGAATCAGTCCAATCGTCTCCCAAATTTGCTGCTATTGCTAAGCTGACTTCGGGTTCAACTACTTGTGACATATTAGGACAATATCTCTTAATGTGCCCTTCTTTGTGACAGTGAAAACACTTCCCATTGGAGTTGATTCTATGCGATTCTGATCTTCCTCTAGCGATCAGAATATTGCCATTCTTATCTTCTTTCTGATCGGTTTTCCTTTGAACATCTTTTGACATTAAGACGGACTTAACCTCCGTCAATGTCAAAGTTTGCTTCCTATACAACATAGTGTCAACTATGTTTTCATACGTCTTTGGTAGAGAACTGAGGAGTATGATCCCTTGATCTTCTTCGTCTATTTTCACATCCACATTTCTGAGGTCAAGAATCAATATATTGAAGACTTCCAAATGCTTTCTGAGTTATTGGTTTTCTTCCATTTGGAGCGTATATAGTTGTTTCTTCAATAATAGTCGATTGGTAAGAGATTTTTTCATATAAATTGATTCAAGCTTCCTCTATACCTTTATTGCCATATCTTCTTCAGCAACCTCTCTTAACACTTCGTCACCGATAAAGAGAATGATGATACTGTGTGCTTTCAATTGAATTTCTCTAGCCTTGGCTATGTCGGTGATTGCAGCGAGATTTTCTTCAAAGATTGCAACGGAAAGGTCTTGATGAACCAAAAGAGCCTTCATCTTGATCCTCCAAAGGCTAAAATCATTCTCCCCCTTGAACTTATCGATCTCGAGCCTTTGCATTGACATGATAAAGAAATCAAACTTGAACTCCTCTATTCAATTTGCTCCGCACCACTTACAGACCCCTTCGGCGTGCTTCTTGCGTGCAGGTTAACGAATCAAATAGCCGTTAACGCAGACACGTCTTCACCTCCGGTGAATCCCGAACAGCTTCCTCCCGCACGGTCTCCACGGGCTAGTTCCAGCGCCCCGCACACCTCACGCTTCCTTCTCGCACCAGGTTCGTAGCCAGCCCGTGTCCGGCCAGCCTCCGTGTGCAGCTCCCCCGTGATCCTGCTGTCCCGTGAGCTCCTCCGGCCCACACAGCCCAGCACGGCCTTCTTGCGCGTGCCCTGCTCTTGCCATCCTCACGCCTCCAGCGATCCTGTCTCTACATGAACTGTAGCACTTCCATTGATTCTTGCTTCATCTAGATCGGATCTTCTTGGCTACAAGAACTTCTTCTTCCAG